CTCTTGTCTCCTAGTTCCCTCTGCCTGGTGCACACCTGGGTGCACACCTGGGTGCACACCTGGGTGCAATCAGCACTCAGGGACAGAGGGAGGGGATAAGAGGGGTGGAGAGTACAGAGACTGGGGGGAGGAGACACACAGACAGCTGTAACTGGGTGAGGGTTCTTTGTCCTCTCTTCCTTCTCCAAGCAGGGTTTGTTCCTCCACCCACAGTTAGGTGCGGTGGGGTTTTGTTATTTTAGTTTGTGTTATTTCAGGCTGGAGATTACGGGTAGTCATGTTATTCATCTTTTGTTTTAGGTTAAGTTGGGTTTAGGTAGTCTAGGAGGAAGCGCTGGGAGCGACGGCCCACTGCGTGGTTGGCCCAGCGTTTTCCTGTCTTTTGTTTATTTTGGCCAGGGTCACCAGTCCTTTTTGTTTCCTTTGGTTTAGGTTGATCAACTTTGAATATTTTTGGGGGTATTTCAATAAAGCTTGGGTGAAATGTTATTCTTGTCTGGTGTCCTTTTTACATGTGTTGCAGCCTCCTGCCCCTTTGAGCTTTAGTTTTGGAGACCGTAACAGCCGTCATTACTACTTTTTATCATATGAGCACTACTGTTGGCACTACATTGCTAACCCTATTATTGCTGCTACTATAACTATTATTAGTGCCACGGGTGCTCAGCTCCGAGGTTCTCCTCTACAGCTAGAATAGCTGAGAGGAGTGCCTCAGGTTAATATTCCTTTGGGCTTATTATTTATTCTCCGCCAAATTTGGCGCGTAACTCGTCCTGCATGCTTTGAGAAAACTCCAGTAATATATTATCATCTATAAACGTGCGTCTTGATTTCCGCTGAAGAGGTGCCTATTACTTTGGGTGCTTAAAATTCATATCTTTTCCAGAATGTTATTCCCTAAAATACTGCGGATATTTGAATGCAATTAGAATGCATTGGAATGTTTCTTAAAACTCTACAAAATTTCATGGTTCATGTTCAGTTCAGCATATAGTGTTTAATATACAGATAGCCACAGCTTCTATGTAAAGGCGATCAGTTGTTTACATTTTTTCTAAATGGGTAGGTTAAGTTGTTCCATGTGGTCACGACTGTGCAGTTCCAGTTATAAAGACTACGTTGCTGTATATTGAAGGATGCATACAGGGTTGGTGTGTATTTACTGATTGATTTTACGTGTTTTTTGGACTAAATATTCTTGTTGCCACCTTTGCTATGTGACAGGACTTTGTGTTCAGGTGTATGTTTATTGTTGGTTGCAGGAGTTACGAGGCTCACAGTTGAGTTACGTCATCACTTTCCTGAATGTTTTGTCAGTTGTGGTGTGACGGAGGCGTTGTGTTGTCTCCCTTGCTGTGTTCATTGATGTCTTGAATTATGTTTGAATCACAGAGTTTCGTCTCCAGTTGCGTCCATGTTTGATTTTGTTGAGTAACATTCACATTTTTGTCTTTTTGTTCTCTTCATATATGCATTTTTAATATGAACTGTATAATAAGGACTCTTTACCTCGGTACTATTTCTGTTTCTGCAGTGAAATTCATCCTCCTCCACCCTCTGCCTTCATCAGAGAGGTGTGAGTGGGTCTTTCGTAACTCAGCCTTGACAATTATACATCTATCTGTTGACAAATATCTGATCGAGAGCGGTTTGTTATTTCGCTCCTGTAGCGTCTCTCGGTGAGACTCGTTCGGTTCTGTGACAGTCTCTAGACGTCTTTTCTGTCCTCTCGTCGTGACCGATCATTATTTCTGGAGAGCCTGTGGTGCCTTTGGTAGAGTCGATTGTCAGGTCAGTCTCAAGATCTATCAGCGATCAAACTCGTTCGCATGCTGTGATTCCTACACAGTGTAAGGTCCTTCCACCTGTGGAGGTGGCATAGCGTCTTAATGGAGCCTAGTCATGCACTGGTTCAGGAGGAGTAGGAGGAGTGAGGATGGAAGAGTAGGGGGTAAGAGGTAGAGGGTAGGAGGAGGGTAAAAGGTTTAGGAGGGTATGGATGTAGGAGGTGAATGGAGGAGGGAGGAAAGGAGGAGGAAGAGGAGGAGTGAGAGGAAGAGAGGATAGATAGTAGTTGTAGGAGGTTGGAGTGAGGATGGAAGTATGGAGTGAAGGGTTATGTTTAGGTTAGATAGTTGAGGAGTTTTGTTTGAAGTAGTGTAGGTGTTGTTAGGATGTAATTGTTAGGTATGTATGTATGGAGGAAGTTTGAAGAGTGTTAGGAGGTTGTTTTTGTAGTGTAGGTTTATGGTATACGTTGAGTGTTTAGGTATGGTAGGGAAGATGGAGAGAAGGAATTGAAGAGAGGAGGAGGAGAAGGAGAGAGGTGTAAGGTTAGGGAGGATGTGTATGAGGATTTATAATGGAGGAGGCTATGATATAGTAGGTAGTGTAGGATGGATGGATTGTAGGAGTTTGAGGGTAGGGAAAGGAGAATGAAGGTAGGAAGGTATAATGGAGGAAGGGTATGTGTTTGATGGGGTTTACCAGGGAGGAAGATAGGGGATTTAGTTGAGGAGTATGTAGGATATGTGAGGAGGATAGTTTTTAGTGTAGGTTAGATTTTGGTTTTAGGGTTTCTATTTGTGTGTAGTGTTAAGGAGGAGGAGGAAGAGGAAGAGGAGAAGAGAGGAGGAGGAGGAGGAAGAGGGAGAGGATAGAGGAAGAGGATGCGAAGAAAGGAGGAGGAGGAGGAATGGAGGAGAGGAAGAGAGAGGAGGAGGAGGAAGAGGAAGAGAGGAAGGAAGGAGGAGGATGGGAGGAGGAGAGGAGGTGGAAGGGAGGAAAGGAAGAGGGGAGGAGGAAGAGGAAGAGGAGGAGAGAGGAGGAGGAGGAGGGAGGAGGAGGAAGGAGTGGAGGAGGAGGGAGGGGAAGGAAGAAGAGAGAGAGGAGGAGAAGAGGGAGGAAGGAGGAGGAGGAGGAGAAGAAAGAAGGAAGGAGGAGGGTTAAACCTCATTGAAAACCACACTTCATTCAGAATCCTCCTGTGTTTAAGTTTCCTTCAGTATCACAGAGATCCAGTGATGGTCGCCTGTACATCCATGATTCACTGACAACCATCACCACCGTCACCATGGAAACAAAGGAGGTTTACCTTCTCTCTTGGTACGTGGTCCAGAACCGGGCTCTGGGGTTCTTTCTTAGAAGAAAAGCAACAGTCACCAGAACGTCTTCAAAATCTGAGACAGGTTTCAAATGTTGAGTTAGTTTGTGTTTTATATTATGTTGTATGTAGTTTGTATTAAACTGTGACATATGTACATTTTACATGTGTATTCATTTTAATACTTGACATACAGTTTATTCAAATTTCATTTTTATATCCTTTATAATTTTATCCAACCCTAACTTTTACTGTTAACATTAATATTATTTCATGCCCATATTTAGTAATACTCATAGCGCCACCTAATGGCAATAGGAAATATAATCTACATTTTCATGTGCTCCTCCTAGCAGGTGGAGCAGATCCTCCTCAAACCTGCTCAGACAATCCTCCTCACCTTGATGGTGCTACGATGCAAAAAGTGTGAGTTTTCAAATTCCCAACAGGAAGTGGTTGTAAATCTACCTTGAGGCTCGTAGAAAACGTCTGATCCCAGGATGATGTCCAGCTTAGGCAGCAGAACGAGATCCGGGGAGACCTCCCCCCAGGTGAGACCCAACACCCCCACATCGTGGAGGCCGTTAGCTCCACAGCTGCGCCTGCAGTTCTCCAGACACAGAGGAGTCCTAGCGCTGTCTGACAGGATCACCTTTGCTCCGCACCTCGCAGCCACCACACCTGGGAGACTCACACCTGCACCGAGCTGTGGAGAGAGAGACGTACCGAGCAGCACTGCACGCTTTGATTACCTGCAGGATCGAATGTTGTGACGCTCTGATTTCTGGTCTCCTGAAGAACATATCTCAACTACAGATGCTTCAAAACTCAAGACCTACCATTTTAGTCTGGCTTTCAATGGGATTTTATTTATTTTATCTACTTATCTTTCTATTTAATCATATACTTTACTGGTTTATTATTTTATTTCATGATTATTTTCTGGATAGTTTTCCCTCTAATACCCTGTTTTTATTTCTGGTTTTACTCACTTTAATACATCTGTTTTAGTATTTTATTATTATATCTTTATCATTCTGTCGTTATCTTTGTTTTCCAGTGTTTCCTCAGTTCCTGTTATTATTGTCTTATTTTTATTGTTTTTATAGTAGTTTTTGATTTATTGTTTTTAAAGCCCAAACAGAAATATTCTCCTCACCTCCAGCACTGTCTTGTCTTTCAACGCTTCTCTTTGTGTCCACAGATACTGAGCCAGCACCACCGCACAAGGCCACACATACATGCCATATTGTGGATCAAGAACCTGACAGAGAGGATCACAGGTCATCAACAAGCAGCCAATGATAGCAAAACATAAACCAGCATGTTCATCAGCTTTACTTATGAAATCCTAAATGTACAAGGCTGTTTGAGGTTTGACACAACATACTAACAGTTGGAAGCTTCTGAAAATCAGCATATAAAACTACTGTACATCCTCCACATGGACCACATAGGGTCCTGGTACCACGGGTCCCCAAAATATGCTACTGGACCCCTGGTACCCCGACGCCAAAGAAATTTAGGAATATGAACCATGTAAGCACAATATAAATTCATAAATCAGAATCATAGAGTCTTCTTGAAGAATAATTTATTAATAACATAACATAATATATTTTGTCAAAAACAATCACAACTCAGGGTCCGCACTAACTTCATCTTGTGCTTTCAAGTGTATCACATGGTCTTCATCAGTGAAGTGAGTTACAAAAATAAAATGACATGTAATTGTAACAGCTGATGAGATCCCAATCCATCTCCATGGCAACTCCATGACAACTGACTCCACGACTGTGTCATAACAACTGAAAGCTCAGAAAGAAAAAAGCTTTAGTTGGGATTGAATTTGAACTGAAACAATTAGTCTATTGATAAGATTATTATCATTTTAAATTAGCCGTGAATCATCGGTAGAGACATATCTATCTATCTATCTATCTATCTATCTATCTATCATAAGTTCATATAGGCTGAATTGAGGGGCGGACTCTTGTGCATCGTTTACAGCCTCCACTCCTTCCTCTGCCGGCTGCATACCATTTATGTTTATCTGATAAACTTAATTTCATATATTCTTAAAGAGATAGCACCTTGATTCCGTGAGACAACAACACAGCACCGACACACCGGCTGCTTAAATTATTAGGTAAAGTCAGTTTCACACACGGGTATATTATAAATGGCCGTTCATGCAGTATGATGGTGTATTAAGAAAGACAAACAGACCTCGGGTATGGAGACTGACAGTGACTCCTGTCTGTTTTTCTTATTATCTTCAAACGTGAAAACTTTGTAAGCTATGCTAGGCGTTTCGGATCCGCTGTGCGCCATCGTGTAAGCTAATACCTTAAAAAACACATAATTGCATCGCCATGTTATTATTCCGGAGCTTTGTCTTCTGATTAGAAGTTAATATTAACTACTTTCATTAATGTCTATACTGATATAACACCCGCAGCAGCCATGCCTTATGTCTATTTCCGCACCGACTCCAAGCACAAGAAGGACGTGTTAACAGCCAATCAAATCCACGTATATGCCTGGCGGGAAGGCTTATTCTACTCTTCAACCAATCAATGTTTTGCTTTCGTAGACGCTGTAAGCCAATGAGCTTTCTATTCTACCATATGGGCGGGTGCTAATTACGTCAATCAGTTGCAAAAGCATTGTGTGGCCAGGTAGCTAGCTGCTCTTATTAGCTATTTACCAAACTGTACCAGCCAGGCAGGCGTTCACAGTGTTCTTGTTTCTGTTGGTACAGACTTGAGGACCAGTTGAACACATTAACCGACTTGTGGTTTTGTTTACTTATTAAACGGTTAAGTAGGGAGTGTGAGAACAGCGCAGCTAGCCGGGTACCAGAGCAGGCTAGTGAATGTGTTTGTGTGGTATCGCCGGGTTAGCTCGATAGCTAGCTGAGCAGCGACAAAGCCAGGAGGAGGAATGAACCATAAGAGTAAGAAGAGGATTAAAGAGGCGAAACGGAGCGCCAGACCCGAACTGAAGGATTCATTAGACTGGATAAAACACGGTTATCATGAGACTTTCGACCTGTCACACCGCACCGTCAAGGTAACTGTCAATGTAGCATTGAAAGCTAAGCTAACAGTGGCTACGGCAGGAGTGCAGCTTGTCACGTAGACACCGAGCTACAGAGGAGCCGGTGTTACCACAAATTCTGTGACCCAGTTAGTTTCATTCCAGCCCCTGCATACTTCCTCCTACTGTATCACATACTTCATGTTTAAACACCAACGTAAAAATACTCTGTTACAAGTAAAAACACTGCTCTGAAAATCTTACTCAAGCAAAAGTACATAAGTACATCAATTTATATTTAAAGTACCAGAGGTAAAAATAATCATTATGCAGAATGGCCCATTTCAAAATAATGAATATTATATTATAGTGATATAATTAATGATGGATTAATGGGTTCATCACTTTAAGGTTGCAGCTGTTTAAAGTGAAACAGATTTAAAAGCAGTAAATATGTAATAATGCATCATAATTTATTAGTTGATTTATAGCTTGTATTGATAATTGAAATATGATTAGGTAACCAATTTACTAATAATTTTGAGGTACTTAAACTCAAATTAATTTTAATTTTGAGGTACTTAAACTTTACTTGAGTTTTTCCAATTTATGCTACTTTAGTACTAACAAAGTACGATGAGGTTCAGGAAATAAAAAGTACAAGTTCATTCAATTGAAGAACGGCTCATGTTTGATGCAGAGGTTAGATTTACTTATTTTCACCCCAGAAACAAATAAAATATGTTAAAACATGTTTTGACCAGGGGTCAAACTTTTTCATTCAACTGCACAAGAAACTTCCAGATGTTGTGATGTATTTATAGTGGTGCATCTATTAAAACTCATTCAGGTTGGTTTCAGTCATGAACACAACAGCCCCCCCCCCCCCCCCCCCATCAGTTGCTGTAAACATCATCACGGCATCATCTCTTTGTAAAAGCTAGTTTGTGTGTTGCAGCCAGTTTTAATGTAGTGAATTACATTTTTTTCAGGTCTGTCTTAAATCAACAGTCAGGTCAGTTTTTGTTTGCTGTCATCATTCCTCCTGTTCATACTGAACAATAAGGGATCCCTTATTAGATTGTAAGTAAAGGAGGACAAAATCAACATCCTTGTGTCCTGCAAGTTTATCTACAGCTAGTGAAGGGTGACTTAGATAAATCAAGAGGATATCTTTCAAAGTTTCTGTGAGTTTAGTGCAAAATTGCCTCTTTGTGTTTACTTGTGACACAACAGAAGGACAGTAAGAAAAACAGGGATTTTTTTGTACTAAACAGACTTACTGTGGAAGATACACTTGATTTCATTTGGATTTCTCATTTTAACTCCATGGAAAACATTTTCAAACAAAATAAGAACTGTGGAGTTTGTCCTCCATCACGTTCACTGAAGTTGCTCTAAAACGGGATTTCTTAGATTAAAGCAATTAAAACCAGTGTCTTGCTAGTGTCATGTAAACGGCTATTAAACTACAAAATGGAGAGCTGTGGTCAGAGCAGTTTAGAAGGTGTAACACTGAGAGCAGCTGGCAGACCAAGCAAAGTGAGTTGAGATATAACCTCACTGGATGTGGTGTTGGTGGGTGAACAGTATGGGTGTGCCCTCAGGTTTCAAAAGAGCTGTTTAAACCAGAGGGAAACAAAGCAGTTGATTACAGCACTGACCTGCTTTCCTCAACGCACACACCCTTTGCACTGATATCGGCCCCAGTTTGTACTTCCCATGTTTTATCATTTCAGAAAGAGAAATGGGATGTAATATTTGAAAGACCCAGCCGCTTGTTTAAAAAGACTTTTTGTTACGACTCCATTTCCTCATCCAAACAAAGATGGAGGCTGTAAGTGACCTTGTTGAAGGATTAGAAAGTAGAGCCTCACCTGTGGAAACAGTTAAAAATCTCTTGTAACTGAATATTTTGTCTTCCACATGGACGGAAGAGGCTTTGAGGATTTTGGACACGTCTTTAGAACGGCACACTGTGGACCTCTTTACTGATATATGCTGTGTTACAGGACAACGTAGAGCGCGTGGACGCCCTCCACCTCAGTCCTGAAGGGTTCATCCAGCGCTTCGAGCGGCCCTACAAGCCCGTCGTCCTGCTGAACGGCCAGGCGACCTGGCCCGCCCGAGAGAAATGGACTCTGGAGCGCCTCAAACGCAAATACCGCAACCAGAAGTTCAAGTGTGGGGAGGACAACGACGGATACTCGGTGAAGATGAAGATGAAGTACTACGTGGAGTACCTGGAGAGCACCAGGGACGACAGCCCGCTCTACATCTTCGACAGCAGCTACGGTGAACACGCCAAACGCCGGAAGCTGCTGGAGGACTACCAGGTCCCCGTCTTCTTCAGGGACGACCTGTTCCAGTTCGCAGGAGAGAAGCGCAGACCGCCGTACAGGTTTGATCTGTGTTCATTTATTTTTCATCTTAATCAACAACAAAGTTGCTCAGTGTCAGAATGACAAGCTCGTGAGCTTTGGTCAGGTCACAGTGACGTCACACTGGTGAACTCTATCACCGTAATGCTGTGAGGGAATTTCTTCTAATTTGGTGCAAAAGTTCATCTGGACGAACTGATTTGATTTTGGTGGCTAAAGGTCAAAGGTCAAGGTCACAGTGACCTCACAAAATGGCACTTTTCATGGTACTGAAGGTCTTTAAAAGTCTAAAATTGAACCTTTGACATGTCACGAGTTTACCTGGTGACACAGAACAAAAGGCTTTCCCCTCTCATCTCGTCTCCTCCACAGATGGTTTGTGATGGGCCCGGCTCGCTCCGGCACCGGCATCCACATCGACCCGCTGGGCACCAGCGCCTGGAACGCCCTGGTTCAGGGTCACAAGAGGTGGTGTCTGTTCCCCACCAACACACCCCGAGAGCTGATCAAAGTGACCAGAGAGGACGGAGGCAACCAGCAGGACGAGGCCATCACCTGGTTCAACGTGGTCTATCCCCGAACGCAGCAGCCCAACTGGCCCCCGGAGTTCACGCCGCTGGAGATCCTCCAAAAACCCGGGGAGACCGTTTTTGTGCCTGGTCAGTGAAGAAGTATCATGTTCTAAAATAAGCCTCTGTCGTACATGAGATTGGTTTACAAAGAATAAAAGTACGAACACAGCGTTTTCAAAACATCCTCAGACATTTCCCGGAGGTCATGGGTGAGTGGTGTTTGTCCTGTTTTACAAGCCAGCCAATCAGAACCCAGACTGGTTCTTTTTTTTCTTTCAGTGCCAATCCAGAGTAGCTCAGCACCTGTGCGACCTAACAGGTGTGTTGGCACTGTAGACAGCGCTGTGTGACAACAGACAGTGAAACGGATGTGACCTAGATCCAGCTAATGCCACCAGAGCTGATGGTGATGAGGACGGATTAAACCCTCAGCTGCTCGTTGGGCGTCGGTCCAGGATTGAGACTTCACCTGTCTGACTGTAGATTAGACCCACAGACACACAGGAGGGAATGACTGTATTTACATTGTTTGAAATATATATGCTACATCCACACGACTACGTTTTAAAACACGTCTCTTCTTCTCCGTTTCCTCCTTCCGTCCACAAGACTCCAGAGTTTTCGAGCCCCGAAAACGGAGACTTTTGGAAACTCTCCTGGCCGCGTTTTATTTTGCAATCTCTGGGTTTGTGTTTTATTTTGAAAACCCTGGAGTGGTGTTTTATTTTGAAAACTCTGGGGTTGAGTTATAGTCTGGACAGAAACTGAGACCTCTGTAAACGATGAGGTCACACCCAGGGTCTCTCCTGATTGGCTGTCATCAGCCTGGACTGCCAGTGGTGAATACAACATGAGAATGAATGACAGAGTTACTGACCTTGTTGTTTCATTAATGTTTCTGTACCTGTGAAATAATATAAATATATTGAACATACTTGTTGCGGGTTACCTGTCGCGCACCTGGTGCTTCAGTCTGCACCAACAGAGGTTTGAGGTTTGTTCCAGCGGCTCCAAACATCAGAGCTGATTGATCGTTGATGTCACGACCAATCAGATCTGATATCCAGTCATGTTTAGATTTGTTTTTCTTCCCCTGATGTTAATGGTAACTAGCTGTGTGTCCACAGGTGGATGGTGGCACGTCGTCCTCAACCTGGACACGACAATCGCAGTGACTCAGAACTTCGCCAGCACGACCAACTTCCCCATCGTGTGGCACAAAACAGTGCGAGGACGACCCAAGCTCTCCAGGAAGTGGTATCGGTAAGGATCGATCTCTGAGGAGTCCCTGTGTCCCCGAGCTGTCCAACCACAGTCTCATTATTTCTCTTAGTTGTTTTTTGTGTCTTATTTTCCGTCTTCTGGTTTTTAAATTGATTCTAGATGAGAATGAAAATTTCTTTCATTTTCGTTTTGGAACTGGCAGTTTTCTGCTTCTAGTGGCTTCCTGTTGGAGGTGGGCGACCTCGCCTCTACGTGGGCGTGTGATCTGTATCTCATGTGGGTGGGGTCGCACTGAACCTTGACTGGATTTGTCGTTGCAGCATCTTGAAGCAGGAGAGGCCCGACCTGGCGGCGCTGGCGGACAAAGTGGACCTGCAGGAGTCGACGGGCATCGCATCAGACAGCTCCAGTGACTCTTCGTCATCATCTTCCTCCAGCTCGTCTGACTCCGACTCTGATGCAAGTGTTTTTATTAATTATGTCACCGCAGGTTTAAGTTCCAGCTATTACATTCCCAGGTCGTTGGTTTCTTCAAATTTATCTCAAACGTTCACTCGGATTCGAGGATGAGCAGATTAGATTTTGATGGTTGAAAGGTCAAAGGTCACTGTGACCTCACAAAACACGTTTTTGACCATAACTCAAGAATTCATTCACTAATTATGACAATTTTTCAGACACGTGTCTAAAAGGGTAAAATGGTGAAGTGATGACAAAAGGTCAAAGGTCAACCTCACTGTGACATCATAATGTTCTGCAGAAACCCCTCTGGCCATTATTCAATGCTTCTGCTTATTGTTTTTTAGTTGATGGTTCACCTGCATCTTTCCCCTTTTGTTTGTCCAGCCCTTGAGCCAGGCAGTGACAGGAAGTAGATTCACGAAGGGATAGTGGACTCAAATTTGAGTCGTGCCCCCCCCCCCAGCCCCAGCCCAGGCAGCTGGTGCTGGGGGCCCTGGGTTAGGTTCAGGTTTTGAGGTTCAGGTGTTGAGACCAAGGAGAAGGAGGCAAGGCAAATGTACTGGTATTGCACATTATCAAACACAGAGCTTCAATGTGCTTAACAGAAATAAAAGAAGCATCAAAATACAAGTAAAAAGCACAATAAGAAAACAGCATAAAAACACAATTATAAAACTGATAATATCTGATTAAAAGATGAAGACGGAGGAGCACAGAGCAGCCTGTGACCCTCTGGGAGCTGGTTCCAGATGCTTCCAGCAGGGGGCAGCATCACAGCTGAAAGCTCTGTATATTTAGGGCCCAGACCATTTAGTGACTGATAGACAATAAGAAAAACTTTGAAACCCAGTATCTGCCTGGAAGTCAGGACACAGACCTGAGAAGTGATGTGTGTCGGCTCTTGGTTTCAGTCAGAACCTGAGCAGCAGCATCTGAATATCCGGTCAATATCTAATCTTTGGTCTGGGCTGAAATTTCAGATTCAAAGCAGAACTCCTCCACTCGTGGAGAAAGGCCGGTTCTCACCCTCAGTCCTGTATTTCTCTGTAACCCTCGGCTGAGGCGGCGTCTTCCTGCAGCGTGTGGGGTGTAAAGTTGTGCTGGCAGTCGAGTGAACAGACTGTTACAATTCCTGCTTATATAAATTCCCACAGTCCGAACACAGCGTCCGTCATGGCAGCAGGGACAGTCGGTCCGAAGCTGCCAACATGTGACAGACCTCCAGCGCTGTAATGTAACACTGATGTTGTAACTGCACGTGTGTCAGAGCGTCTGCTCTCTGTGTTGCTGCAGGCGGAGTCCGGCTCCGAGGGCGACGCCATGTCCCACCGCAGGAAGAAGAGACGCACCTGCGGCATGACGGCCAACGGAGACACCAGCAGCCAGGACGACTGCGTCAGCAAGGAGAGGAGCTCGTCTCGGTGACCTCCGGCCTCCGTCCGACCCCCCTCCCCCTCCCCCCAGCGGTGACTCCTCCACTCACAAACTGACACAGCTCCAGCTGCTTCGAGTCTAGTTTAGGTAAATGTCCGGATCCCCGAGCGAAGGTCACCTGCCCGCCTTCAGAGACAAGATGGCTGCCGCTGAGCAGCGAGGTGTAGGTTAGGGAGGGGGGGGGTCGGCTGGAGACCTGCCACCACTGTGCTTTTCAACACCAATCAATATCTGTTTGTCTGTGTAGCTTCAGTAGTGTGACGACATGGAGGGAAACATGATGGTGGTGAGGTCACGAGGTGGGTGGAGCCTCGCCGTGAGCTTTAAAACTCTCTGAGCTGCTTCCTAACGTGAGTTTGATCTGAGGAGGACGGGTTGGAATATTTCCTCTTGTTAACAGAGTTGAACGTGTTGAGACATGCGCCCTGTTTTAAAGCTCATGGTCAGAACCTCCAGCACCAACACGATATCAAACACTCGGGCCTCTAGTTTCACAGCAGCAAACTGGTGTTAATGAGCGATGACATCACAGCAGTGTGTCAGAATATTGATCCTATCTGTTTGTTTTTTTTTTCTTGCACAAAAAAAGGCCTTAAAAGATTTTGAAAATATTTTCGTAAACATTTTCTCTTGCCTTCTAATTTCTGCAGAAACATTTTAACTGGTGAATCCAACCATCCAGGTTCAGGTCGCATCGGTTTAATTCATTACATCATCAGGAATTATTGTTTTATTCTGTGGAGAAGTACTGAGTAATAATTAAGCCATATTGTCCCTACATCAAACTTTAATACTTTATCTTGTGCCACTGTAAAACTGCTGTTTAAGTGCATTTAATGTGATATGAAAAAGTCTTAAATTTAATGTGTTGAAGCTGCAGAAACACCCCCTTTAATATTATACTATCAAAAAACACCAGTTCACGTTTGAGACGCTACAACAGAAAATATGACGAATTCAAACTGAGATAAATGTGGATAAAATTAAAAGGTATAAATAAAACACTGATGAGAAAGAGAGATATTTTAAATATTATAGAGAAGTTTTAAACTCCCCCTGAAATATTATGAGTCTATTTGTTTATACAGATGTCAAAATAATAAAGTAAGTCAACTAGTTCTCCAGATAGGACTATTTTCAGCGGCGGATTGATCCACATTTGCTGCTGTAGTGAGCAGGACGGAGTGTGTGGACTGACTCAGAGTAAATGTCCATTTAACTGTTTAAATGCCATAGAATTATGTAATTCCCCAAATCTTATAAATATACACGTCAGTGAACTAACATCTTGGTAATTCATTTGTTTTATAAGACAGAAGCTGAATCCAGTCATGGAGGATAAAACCTAGGAAAACTAAACTACTCATGCTAAAAGACTAGCCTAGCATTAGCTTAGCAGAGCAGCAGTGTGGTTGAGCTTCACTTTCCTTCCTGACTGCAGCTCCTCTGTGGGGCAGAGGAGGAAGAGGAATCGGGCTTCGACACAAACATAACACTTGTGAGGAGAAGTTCAGACGGATTCTTTAAGGCTTCGTCCACACTGCTGCGTTTGTGTTTTAAAAAACGCATCTCTTTTTCTACGTTTCCTCTTCCCCTCCGCACGACTCCCGAGTTTTCCAGCCAAGAAAACGGAGACTTTCAGAAACTCTGCTGGACCCGTTTTATTTTGAAAACTCTGGGGCTAACCAACTGCAGAGTAGACAATCAGCTTCCTGTTCACGCCGGCTCGCACATGCTCAGTGTAGGCGATCGCTCATGTCTGTATGTGTATGTATCAGGTGTGTCAGTCCGGACGGAGATCGGTTTTAGTTTTAAAATGAAAACGTGTGAGTGTGGACGAAGCCTGAGGAACACATCTGTCAGTCCTTCCTCCTCACACCTGTCAGGTGAATGTGAGTCTGTCTGGAGGACGATGGATGTCTTTACGGGGTCGAGCTGCTCATCACCGTTAATCAGCTCCATCTTTATCAGCCTTGTTGCTGCCAGTTTTTGCACACACTGCCGTGAAACTCGAGGCCCCACCCCCACCCCCCACCCCCACCCGATTTCTTCATAAAGATCCACTCTGATGTGTTGTCCTGAAAACTTGTACCTGCCTTGGAAATTTAACTTGATGCTGGAATTGAAAGTCACTTTAGTTACCCAGCTTTAATGAAACAAAGCAGTTAAAGGCCACACACACACACACACACACACACACACACACCACACAACACACACACACACACACACACACACACACACACACACACACACACACACACAGAGCTATAGGTGTGTTAACACTGTGGAAGCAGCAGCTCGGTCTCTTTGTGCCATACGCTGTGATGCTGTCGCCAGGTGCAGCAGCTCGGCGTGAGTCGTGTACCTGAGCTGGACAGCAGAGGGCGGGACGTGGGTGGAAGAAAGGTGGACGGTGTTAATGAGCATTTCTTCAGGTTCTCCCTCTCTGTGAATAACAGCCGAGCTTCAGCTGACGTCGGAGCGGAAGAGATTGTGATTCCACTTTTTGGCGTCCATCTTGTTTCACGCTGCCGTGAGGTCGAGACACTTATCACTGATTTACTGTAGCTTGTTCAACATGGAGTCGAATCGGGATTAAAACTAATGAATATTATTATTATTGATGAATCTGCCAGTTAAAGCTCGATTGATTCGCTCCATCTTTAAACCTGAGCGTCTCTGCGTTGTGACCGTTGCGTGACACTTGAGGGCGTCGTCTTGGACAATTTTCACTATTACTGACTGAAAGTCGTATATTTAAGATATTGTTAAATAAAATAAACACATATAAAAATACATAATAATACCCAAATCCTCAGAAATATTAAGAATAAATTAAACAATAAAGTAAAAAAAAGCTACATATGTAGAAATTATTCAAATATTTGTGTATTCGTTAGTTTCCAGCTGTTTTTCTCAATAAATTGATCGTTTGCTCTATGTGACGTCAGAAAACAGTGAAAAATGGCCGCCACAATCTCTGACAGTGACGTCCTCAAATGTCTTGTGTCTGATCAGCCGTCCACAGCAGGAGATCCAAGTGAAGGACTGAACCCAGAGAACAGTCTGTTCCAGCTTCTCTGAACCCGTCGGCAACTTCTTCACACGCAGTTCTCAGTCGCTGTGTCTGTGCAGTCGATGTTCATCTGTCGCTTTAGACTAAAGTGCCTAATAAGTTTGTGGAGTGCGTGTGACTGACTGAGGCGGAGGTCGTGTTTCTGTGTTTGGTGTTTTTATCTGTCGTTGAGCTGAATTTAAGGCACCGAGGTCGGTCACATGGTGCCTTCCTTCTGCCTCGAGGTGAAGGTCTCGAAGGTTTTCCTCCTCCCTGGTCTGACGAGGTTTACTACATGTGTGTGTTGTGAGCTGCAGGATGGATGTGGTCACAGGTTAAATGTTGATGAGGAGAAGAGCCTGTTCACGTGTTTGAGACCTGGATGTGATAAATTTCATTTTGTTGGTCAATAAAATCTTTTCTATGACTCGAAACGTGTCGGATCAATTTTCATTTAAACCAGAAGAATATAGTTTTTAATAAAGTCCGGCAGTGATTTGTTACAAACTGACCTGTTTTTAGGACTATGATTAACGATGAGTTTCATTATTGTTTAATCAACTATTTGTATCTTACTATGTATTTGGCATTTTTTATGTTTTACTATTTTATATTGATTAAAAATAAGCTTTCTCCTAATTTACCCATAATTAAAGACTTACCTGGAAATTATGATCAGTTAAAAGTAGACTATAACTTGTCTTAATGTGTTCTTATTGAATCATAACGAGAGGAGCTGTGATGATGACAGGAAATTAAATTATATAAAAAAAATAGATATAATAATGAAATCAATATAATCATTATTACATTTCATTTTTAAATTTAAGCTTTTTTGTCTTAATTTGAAAGGTTTGTGTCTGTTTTTTGTGTATTTTGGCAAAAGCACACGACATTTGACATTTTATTATGAAAACCCGCTGGCAATATCCTGTAGCGGCTTTTAATTTGAAACGAAAGCGGAAGCTGTGTTTCGTGCCAGCTGTTGAGTCCGCTCAGCTGATGAGGTCAGACCGTGCGGAGATGCAGCTCAGTGTGTGTGTGACTGCAGCCTGATTAACACACACCGTCCTCCTCTCTGACGCACACACACTCTCCTGAAAACACACTTTAAACTTTTCATTCATTAAACCACCATCATGGATCTGGACCCGACCGTCGTCATTCCCGCCATCCTTTTCACCGTCGTTGCCATTTATTTCGCTTCGTCGCTCCTCAGCAAGAAGCCCGACGCCTCCTCCTCCTCAGCCGGGAACAAGAAGCCTAAAGTCGGCTACGGAGACGACATCCCTCCGTCCAGAGCTCTGGGAGAGCAGCTCCGACCCGAGCCTGAAGTCTCCCCGCGGCCAGAACCTCCGGCTCCGGCTGTGGAGGACATCGGAGCCGCTGAGAAGATCCAGGACGTCCCGGTCGCACAAGTGAAGGTAAGATCGATTTTCTTTCTGATCAGTTTAATGAATTTCTAATCATGACATGAATACCAGTTTCAAGTTGCCAAAAAAATATTTTTTCTTATCAATCTACATTTTTGAACCTACAGAGAATAAAAAAGATAAAGAATTTATTCATCTTGAAGGGAAGTTTTGTGCTGAAGATGCTCAGTTTACTTGGTAAAATAAAAATAGAAAACAATATATATTAACACATTTTAAATATTTACAGAAGCTTGGTTGAAGTGACAAATTACTTTAAATTACTTTTTTGGCTGAATCATAAAATAAAATATAGGAATTTATTTTGCAGCACAGAAAGTTAAAGGGACAAAAAGTAACCAAATATTGGTATTTTTAAATTTTTAAATTACTTAAAGCAATTAAGTGAATCATTTCTGGTATCAATTAATGATCAGTCAGTTAATGATTAATATTTTCACAAATAATAAATAATGAGAAGATGTGTTGTCAGGACTCAGCCAGGAGCCCTAATGTTACAGCTTCATTTTTATAGCGCTGACAAGGTTAATTAATGAGTTAATTAATGATTCTCTACTTCCATCTTCTCCCAGAATGCTTTGCTGCTTTTCTACATTTAAAAGTCTCACCTGGGTCTGATGCGTCTTGATAGAAATAATAAAAAGTGTAAAATAAGAGTTTTAATTAATAATTATATAGTGTGTACTGTAATTATACTGTACATCTCATTTTAATCACTTAACACTCTTTATGTTTTGATGAATCAGTGATTGATTAACACCTGAGTGAGAATTTAGTTTCATGTTGGTCTTTGTTTAAGAAACGAGCTGGAAGTCATAAAGGTGCATCAACTTATTTTAACTCAAATCGCTGTGGCGACGAAAGTAGGTACGCTGCTCTCTGTACAGCCCGTGTGTTTATTATTTTAACCATGACAACCAAGGTCCGTTACGCCTGCTGTCATAGGGGTGTTATTTCAGGAGACGCTGCTATGGGTCGTATTCAAGCATCAACATGAAGAACCAGAAGCTGCAGTTCCTCTAACGACCACTAGAGTCTGGCTCCAACAGTGAGTCAGTCCCCATAGACTCCCATGTTAAAATGTCCAACTTTACAGCAGAAATCAACATGTTTACAGCCTGGTACAGAAACTGTTTTGGTCTCTAGAGCTAATTTCCCCCTTCATGACACCTGTTTATATAACTCACCTGTTTATATAACTCACCTGTTTACATTTTATTAAGGACTACAGTTATGGAGGATTGAGGGCGTGGCCTCTTTGAGTGACAGGTGGGTGAGCGTATGCTTGCCACATGCAGTCTGAGCTCCACACAGGCCCCTCCTCTTTGACCATATTTGGATTAGCTGGGAGTTAGGGGGCGGAGTCAGACACGGCCAACATGGTGACGGTGGAGCAGCTCACTCTGAGCTTCAGAAACCCGTGGGTGACGTCATAAAGGCGACGTCCATCTTTGTTTACAAACTGTAGGTGGTATCGGGGTCGATGGTTGTTCTGGTTGGAGGAGGAGTTGTGACTATTTTTGCGATTAATTATTTAGTCGTTAAAATGTTGAACCCACGGTGACGTCTTCAAATGTCTCGTTTTGTTCGGCCAACGCTTCGTCACTGTGACATGAAACAGGAAATCTGTTCAAACACGTTCCAGAAACATTTGGCATTTTTTATGTTTAGTAAACGACTTCATTGATCTATTGATTATCAAAATTGTTACAGATAAATTTTCTGTTGATTAATTGATTGATCGAGAGTTAGCGTTCACAAACTTGTTGCTACAAATCTGTTCATGTAAGGCCTATGTGTCAGCTTTCAGCTGCATCTCATGGTCTTCGTTAGGATTTTAAAAATGATTCTTATCGTACATGAGATATATTTATTTCTGGATGATCTGTTGGGACTTCAGGTCTATAAACTGATGATATATCACCTGAGGAATCGTCTCTCTCACTGGTCGTCCTTGTTGCATGAATCAGACTAAAACTGTGGGACGCTGATCACAGATCAGACCTGTCGGGGACAAAGTGGGACAGCGGCTGCTGTTGATCCAGTCTGATCGATCATTACTGCTGCTGCGTCACAGAGTCATCATGCTGCTCTGAAATCCTCCCACATCATCCTGTGTTAGTCTTTGATCAGACAGTTTGAGGCGCCGGCCTCAGGGATACGGCTCGACAGTCAATTTCCTGATATTTGAGATTTAGATTTATACTTTCAATCAATTCGATCAATATTTAAGACTCAGATCAGTTGACTCAGATTTATTATTATTATTTATTGTCACATAAAACAGTTCTTTTTTAAAAAAATCATAATTTAAATCATGTTTGTTTCATTAATTGTTAAATATCAATAGATTTGGCAGAAAGCTTAAAAGAACTTGGACTTTGTGTGTCGCCATTTTGAAACGAATGACTGTATTGATTGTTTACACGTCCAATAATCAATTTAGGAAGTTTCTCGAAATGTAAACTCCTCAGCTGATGTTTTGCTGCCTGACGTCGTCACCGTCTCTTCCTCGCACAGCGGCTGATTCCTGGATGCTGATTTGCTTGTGCACACAGTGTTGAGCCTTTATGAAAATGTTGAGCTGTGTCGTCGAGCGCGAAGCGACGCCGTGCACAGACGAGGCCGTGTGTGAGCCCTGCTGAAGCATTTGAATGTCTGCTAATGTTATAGACCAACATGCAAATCAGGGTTTGTTGAAGCGGCTCAGATGCCTCTCTCTGGTCAGAGGTCTCTCTGCATGTTGACCCCCCCCCCTTTAAAAAGCCTGAGGAATGTGCACACCGCTGCTGTAACATGCGACGGCTCGGGCGTCTATATTTGGTGCCGAACATGCATCCTATATTTACACCTGTGTTCACGGTGTCACAGGTCTGTGATGGAGGTGGATGTGGGCGATGTTTGACGGCTGGGAGGTTCCTGTTATTTCACCCTGACTGAACACATCCTTCAACTCTGCAGAGACACTTTTTTTGCACAGTTAAGATTCATTTTTAAAAGGATAAAACTGCGTCAGTCTTCACTCAGTCACCCATCACACTGCAGCAGTTGACTTCATGTTTCAGGGAAATCTTTCACACGTGGATGCAAATGTTCAACTGGCCACAAAACCTCCGTCAGTGTCGCTTTTTTGATAAAACGTGTTAGCCACTTGAAAATTCAAGATGGCCGCCATTTGGGGGCAAGGAAATGTTATTTTTTGCAGTGAGTTCATCCACAACAAACATTTTAACAATGTAGAAGGTAAAATTTCGTACACTCACTGAAAAACAAAGCCGAGGGCTCGTGAGTTAGCCTAGCGAGCTAATGTTAAGACAAGTAAACAAGTTAAACAACAAACTGTCACCGACACTGAAGCTTTGCTCTCTGCTGTTGTATTAAAAACGGCGTCACACAGCGACTGGACCACACACCACGCTGTGTGTCATGTGACGGCAGTGACATGTGGGTCTGAGCCAAATATAAAGCAGCTTCTCTGCTGTAAAAGTATCATGGACATCAATCTTGTGGCTGAGTGTCACTGAGCAGCTAACAGTCTTCAGCCACGCCCCCCCCACACTGATAACCTTATCCTACACACACAGCTCACCCCTCAGCTGTCTCACTTGTGGCTGCCGCAGTGCATCATGGTAGATTTTACAGTTTTCTTTGTCCACATAAAGGACGTCTCTGTGTCTTTGAAACACAGCGAGTCTCGTTGTTCTGGTCTTCGAGTGGGAGTCGAACTCGTGCGGCTGCACAGCATCAACGTCCCAGAGTTCACATGAAAAGGACTTTGTAAAATCATTTTTATGTTGTTGTATTAAAACTAGAACTGACTGCAGAGTCTGACGGAAGAGGAGGAAGTTTCCCTCCAAATATAAAGAGAAACTCTGCGAAAGAAAATGAGAATTAAAGCACCGTCGTCTATTGTTTCATCAAAATAAACGTCTGGTGGAGCTAATCCTCTAGTCTGTGACGCTAATCCACCACAGAAGAAGAAGATGTGATTAAAAGATCTCTTTGGAAAAATAATCAGTAAAGTGTTTTTTTAATAAAAACATTTTTTTCTGTATTTTCAATCTGTTTTTTTTCATCCTGAAACTGAAAGTGTGTGTGAACCCACACTGTGAGTTGTGAGGTTTCCTGCTGCCGGAGCTCAGTCTGGCTCTGTGGCTCCGCCTCCGTCCACGCTGCAGCCTAAATAAGGCAAAAGGAGATAAAGGTGCTTCTCAGTCTGTATTAAAGTGTTTGCGTCTGTGACTGGAGCCGAGGTGACGGAGGACGTCACAGAATCAAAACGCTGCTGCTTTTTAAAACTCCTCAGCTTCACTGAAGCTTTCCTCAGACCTGTTCAACGTTTCCTCTCCCTCCTCATTCTTTGAAAATTACAAACTGCGTTGCTCGTGGCGATGCAGCTCTCCATATATGGAAATGTGAGCGTGCTCACATCATCGGGTCTGAGGGAGGAGAGCTGTGTCAGAGCCAGCTGTTCTCCGTCCTGCACAGAGGTGGAGTCACATCTGCACGTTTCTACATCATGTTGCACACCTCAGGGCGGCTGCGAGAGTTTACCAGTTATTTCTGATCAACTTTCAGTTTGTAATTTGTCATGATGCTTCCAAAACCAGTTCCCTCAAAATGAACCTGTTGTCATAGTTACATTTTTTATAGAGCCCCAAAAATATATTTGTAATGATCAGTTTCAAAAAGTTTATGTGCCACTAATGGTGCAAAAATAATAATAAAACATTTTTCATCTTGTCCGTCCTAATGAAGAAATGTTTTTACTGATCCTTGAATTTAATATTTGTTCATATTTCCCCCAAAAATCCCCCAAAATGTTCTCGTCCCACCTAATCATAAAACCTATTTCATTCCCTCTTTAAAGTTTTTAGGTTTTGTCCCCAAAAATTTGTGATGTCACAATTTCCCCATATTGTTTTTCAGTGCTGCCAAAATGTGTCTGATTGTCATGTTTCATAATTACCCAGAAACTGTTGTCATGTCTTGAATCTCACACGTCCTCTGACTTTAACGCCTCCCATCAGGCACCTTTCCCCCAGGTGAGGAGAGGTCTGTGTGGCATTCGCTGACCTCTCGTCTCTTTGGGTTTCATCAGGCTGTGAACGGTAGCAAGTCAGTGACTCACAGAGCTGTTTTCTCCTCTGCTGTCTGACATACCTCTGCTGGTATTTCCCCCTGGCCTGGCCCTGTTCCCGCCTCTCCTCCTCCCTCTGAGGCCTGGCCTGGTCTGGTCTGGTCTGGTTTGGCTCACTACACCTCTGCCCCACAGTGCTGTTGGCCGGGCATCAAAACCAGGAGAAAACACTGGCTTCATATCAGCTAATTCCTCCTCTGTGGTGATTTCAGAGCGGCTGCCACGCCCTCGTATCCCGGCATGTTTTGGTCTTTTTTTGGCCACGCCGCAGTGACCTTCCCCCAGTGATTCATGGGAGTGAACAGAGGATGTACAGTGACAGACAGAGAGGATTCAAAGGACACATTGACTCTGCGGTGATGACAGACTCTTTGTCTCTAACAGACAACCTGAGAGAGCAGTGTTGTTCGACTCTGTGTGAAGACTCAAACTCTTTCTCTCACTTCGGTTCTTCATGGATCCACCAGATGTCCAGACTTTCCTCTGACACTCGACGTGATGCGTCACATCCTTTCTGCTGCTTCATGCTCCCGACCTTCTGCTCCTCCACATCACAAACACTTCAGCAGATCGCTGCAGTAATCAAGCATCAGAATCCGTTTGTTTCGTTTGAAATAAATCCCATTGGCCGCTTGAAATCTCACCATTTCAAGATGGCCGCCATTTCCGTCACAGGAAACATATTTTACCACAGAATTTTATGATTTTGTAATGTAACCCTGTTTTAGACTCTGAGGACGTCAAATACGTCGTGAAAGGTTCTGCATAAAACACATGTATATATTTGCAAACTATTTATTATGAATGAAGAACCAAAAGTTTCACTGTTAAAACGTTTGATTATTCACATGAGAAAGCAACTCTCGTTGCAAAAAATAACATTTCCTTGCCTGAAACGGCGGCCATCTTGAATTTTCGAGTTAAAAACCCGAGGAGGATTGGAGCCAAGTTTATTATTTGTATCCACATGTGAAAGATTTCCCTGAAACAGGAAGTTATCTGCTGCAGTGCGATGGGTTATTGGCTCAGAGAACAGAGTGGAAGTGTCCGGTCGTCTGTGGTGTGAACGGAGGCGGAGTCAGAGAGCTGAAGTGGAGATAAGGCGGAGGGAACAATGAGTCTGTGTTTGGACAGAGATGGAAGGTCTCTGCCACAACAACAGTCTATTCCAGCCTCAGACCTCAGACCTCAGACCTCAGACCTCAGACCTCAGACCTCCACTCTGTGCCGCCCGACCTCCATCCAGGGTCCGGGTCACAAACAGCCTGGACTACGGTTGAGATATAACACACAGTCAGATTTCTACTTGACTTTTCAATGTAGAAAAAATGGTGGAAGAGAAACCGCATCCAACCGCCGAGCTCCGTTCACCCTCAGCAGAACATGTTGGTCTTTAGGAAGAATTCAACAGTAACAAGGACGTTTTACTTTGAAAATCCAGCGAAGAGTAAAACAATTAAATTGCTCTGGAACTAGTCTGAGAGGCGGAGGGATACGACCACGAGGAGGTGATTCTGGTTCTTGTGATCACAAGATGAAATACAGTTCTTATCAGTCAGACTCACTGACCGTCTGCCCCCCCCACCCCCCCCCCCCCCGCTCTCACCAGCTAGAACCGCTTCCTCTTTAGTGTTTGCTCAGGTAGTTCAGTAAATTCCCCACATGCCAAGAGATCTGATGCCGATCCTCTGCGCCCTGTTAGAGCTAAAATGGCTTTTAAGAGTGAGGCACTCAGTGTAATGTTACAGATGGGGAAATATCAGCCAGGAAATGCACTCAGAGGTCAGAACGGCCGACGGGTCGCACTAATCCAGAGCGGCACAGCTGCTTTTGCAAAATGCCTCAGTCTTTTAAATTTACACCTGATTTTTACTCTGTTGTAATCTGGATTCAGTATTTTATAATCTGGATTCTGTATTTTATAATCTGGATTCAGTATTTTATAATCTGGATTCAGTATTTTGTACTAATATCGTATCATAAACTAAAGATGACCATATTTATTTATACTATATTTAATAAGTACTCTGAAATGAGTATTTTGTAATCTTGACTCAGTATCTCATAAACTCACTTTAATATCATATCTTCATTTACGCTGTGACACTCTGGATTCACTGTTCTTTAATCTGGATTTAGTATCTCATAATCCTCATTCCTTATTTTCTCATCTTGATTGAGGATGTTTATCTTGTTTCTCATAGTTTTGATTCAGTATTTGAGAATCATGATTTTGTGTCGCGTAAATCTCGATTCAGTATCTTCTTATTTTATTTTAAATACAATTTGATAAAATAAATTTGATTCACCATATTATTTTTTCTCTGGCACAGCTGGTCTTCCGTATCGTCTTCATGCTGTTCTGTTGATTCATTCCTCAGAGTAGAAATTACAGCCTCACACACACGATGATCTCATGTGGGACTCACTCACCCAACAAACATGTTTGACCAATTTAGGCAGCAGTAAAAGAAACAGTTGGTCATCCTGCTGACTCATGAAGCGTTTTAATGACTCTGCGTTCAGCACCGTGACCGTGTCCGTGAGCGCTTTGTTTCGCTGCTGTGCAGATTTATTTCTGTGTTTCATTGCTGAGGAATTCAGAGGAAGGGACGGTTGCTTCCGGCCGGGAGGGAGGGAGGCCGTGGGATTAAGAGAGCAGGCGAGCAGGAGGAGTTTAATACAGTCAGGCCTGACGCCGCCCCCCCCCCCGGTGCCACCAGTTGTCCTGCAGTGAGTCAGCAGCAGCAGAACTGAGGCTGGTGTTGACTGATGGGATCAGACAGGGACACTGACTCCGTCCTGAATTCATCCTCTGGTGGAGGAAATATTCAGCTCCTTTACTAAGTATTAATACTACACTGTAAAAATACTCTGTAAAAATACTCTGTAAGAATATACAGTAAAATACACTCTAAAAACAACACTCTAGAAATACACTGTTACAGGTAAAAGCATGAGAGTTGAATCAGGAAAAGTAGGAAACATGTATTTTATCATTAGATTAAACTCGTACATTAAAGTGGGAACTTTGTTTCACTGCTGAAGCTCTTTTTTAAATGTATATATATATATATATATAATATTTTCATTATCGATTAATCTTCTGGTTGTTTTGTCTTTGAACTGACTCATTGGTTTATATTTATTCATCTTTATCTAATATTTGTTTTGTCCAAACCTCAACATCATAAAACTGATTTTAAAACATTAAAATGAAAGAAAAACAGAAAATCTTCACATTTGAGAAACTGCAACATAAAATATTTGGCAAATGTTTGACTTAAATGATCAAAGTAAATACCAATTAATTTTCAGTTAAGCAACTAATTGATTAATCCACAATTTGCATTTACTGTTGGGCAGTTTGATCTATAACAAAGCATCATGTGTTTTAATTTGAAAAGCAGCTGTCAGCAGAGGAAGTGGCATGAGCAGAAAAGACTCAGGTGGTTGAGTAAAAGTACTCAGTTACTTCCCAGCACGGGTTAAAAACAGCTGTTGTAACTATGAAAATATATTTGTTTGGTGATGAGAAGGCGGACGTCGGTTTGAGAAGAATCCGCGCGCTCGGTGAACCGGCCTCATTGTTTCACTGTGTGATGATGAAGAACCTTTAATTCAACCTGCCACAGACTCTGATTGTTCTTCATGTTTTAAAAGTTAACGTGAAATTCTACGAGGATTATTTAAATCAACGTAAACACACCGTGCTTGATCCCTCCGGGTCCTTCGTTATAAAAGAGTCGTTAACATATTTATTATTTACTGGCTGGACGAGGAGAAACAGGATCTGCTGCTCCAATGGCCATCTGTGCAAACTCAGCACTTCACCACAGACAGGTGTGTGTGTGTGTGTGTGTGTGTGTGTGTGTGTGTGTGTGAGTGAGAGTTGTCAGGTGGCAGGGAAAGGACAGGTTGGTGGACACTGGAGAGGGTTTTATTTGTCCTGGTGTCAGCAGCAGGCGGCGGATGATCCTCCACAAGGAGCTGCAGCTGACAGTCACCCACATGACACTCACTGTCAGAGGTCAGAGGTCAGAGGTCGACGGTCCCGTCAGCACAATGTACATGTTCAAACTCCCAGATGATATATTTATTATCCCTTTTGATCAGTGAAGAATCTGATCACAGCGACGCTTCAGAGCAAAAAACTCAGACTCACAATGAGTTAAATAATATTTCACATTAAAGCTCCATGTTTCTTCTTCTGTGTTTTATTTGAAGTGTTGATCCATCAGAAGATATAAAAATCATCTCAGTGTAGTTTTACATCTCCTCTCTCAGGCTTCTCTCTGCAGCTCTAGTAACAACAGGTCGGTGAGCCAATCAGAAGAGAGGAGGCTCTGAGCCTCTCTTCTGATTGGCTGACTGTTTTCTGAGTGATCCAATAAAAATATAGCAGATTTCAGGTAAAAACACTCAGAGAAACCAAATCCTGCAAGGTTTGGATGGTGGGTCCAGGTGGGCGGGGCTTGGTGACTGCTTTGTTGTGACATCACAAAGTTCCAGAAGTCCTGACGGCTGGTTTTTAACACCTCTTGTGCGTCTCAGTGTGTAAAGTGAAGGTTTAACAAACTGGTCCAGGTCTGGAGACAGAACCTTCTGGTTTCTGTTTCAGGGACCGAACCCTGATCCTGATCCACAATGACACACTGATCAATAAACTGTCAATGTTTGGTAACTGTTTTCAATCCGTTTCTTTCCAGGCTGTCCCAGAACCAGTATCAGCACCAGAACCTGTCCAGGAACCAGTGTCAGAGCCAGAACCTGTTCCAGAACCAGCAAAAGTACCAGAACCTGTCACAGTACCAGAGACTGTTCCAGAACCAGTATCAGCACCAGAACCAGTCCAGGAACCAGTAAAAGTACCAGAGACTGTTCCAGAACCAGTATCAGAGCCAGAACCTGCCCCAGAACCAGTAAAAGTACTAGAGACTGTTCCAGAACCAGTAAAAGCACAAGAAGTAGCTGCAGTACCAGAACTTATTCCAGAGCCAGAAACTGCACAGGAGCCAGTATCAGTACCAGAACCAGTCCCAGAACCAGCTGCAGCCCCAGAACCAGTGTCAGCCCCAGAACCAGCCCCAGAACCAGTGTCAGCCCCAGAACCTGCCCCAGAACCAGCTGCAGTCCCAGAACCTGTAGCTGTGCCTGATCCAGATCCTGTGGTCCAGTCTGAACCGGTACCTGAAGCGGTCCCTGAGCCTGTGGCTGAACCAGAGAAGGTTGTGGAGGAGTCTTTACCCGAGCTGGTCCTTGGGTCGACAGAAGACCTGCCGGGCCCTGAACCTGCTGTAGAGGCCTCACCAGAACCTGAACCAGAACCTGAACCGGAGACCGTCCTCAACAACGGTAAGACTCCTGAATGGATGACACCCAGTCCGGGGTCACACACCTCTCTCCCATCAGTCAAAGAAAAGTGATCAGCTGATTGATCAGTAATGAGCCATAATCAATAAGCAGACAAACAGTCAGCTCCCCTGGTGTGCTTGTTGTGGAGAGGAGGACGCCTTCATCATCCAGCTGCTGCTAAACACCTGCAGACGGTCCGATCCCGGCTGCTCCCGGGTCGAGCCTCATAGACCGTCAGTGGAGAAATTAATCATAAAACGATTAGTTCCCTAAAAATAATATCGTTATGGCAGAAAATGTTTTTTGGTGGTTTCACTTTTATTTCAGCCATTATCACCTGATCAAGAGTGTGAGGTGCAGCTGAAAGCTCCAGAAGTAGAAAGTAGACCTTGAGTTCAGATGATGGTCAGAACGTTTTTAAAGACGTTGTTGTTGTTTGTCTTTTTATTGGTTTCTGTGAAAATGAGACAAATATGGAGAAACATCAGCTGATTGGACGTGAGTACAGACACACTGATCTGAGGATGACGAACTGTGTGTAACGTCGTGTGTAATAATGATAATAATAATAATAATAATAATAATAATAATAACATGTAGTGCATGTAAACAATCTATATGTTCGTGTTGAAAGCAGCCTCCTGTCAGCGGCTGCGCTCAGCTGATAAGTCACTTCCTGGAAGAGTGAGCAGAGAAGAGCTGCCAGGCTTCAGCACAGAGTATAACACAGGGAATAACAATGATTATTAATCACTGATTAATAATCAATACATTTAAAGACAGACACTGAGTCAGACGAGCAGGAGATTAACCAGCGGAAACAGCAGCCACATGATGACCAGTCTTTACCAGCTGTTTACAGGCTGTTTCTGACTGTAGTGACAGAGTGTGTGTGTGTGTGTGTGTGTGTGTGTGTGTGTGTGTGTGTGTGTGTGTGTGTGTTGTATCGGTGGATCAGTTGGTGTGTGTGTGGAGGTGGAGCCGCCATCTGCTTTAAGAGGATGATACTTAATCTTGAACAAGCACTTGGCTTCTCTGAACAACAGCCGCTGTCCAGACTGACAATCAGCTTTATGTCCAACCTGAGACGCAGCAGGTGCACCAACAGGTGTGTGTGTGTGTGTGTGTGTGTGTGTGTGTGTGTGTGGCTAACAGTTGCACTGCACGCTACATTAAGTAAGCATGCTAACACATTTAGCATACGTTGAGTGGCAGCAAAGTAAACCCACTGACTGACAGAGGAAAGAGTTAAATGAAAACATTTACATCTCCTCTCTCAGGCTTCTCTCTGCAGCTCTAGTAACAACAGGTCGGTGAGCCAATCAGAAGAGAGGAGGCTCTGAGCCTCTCTTCTGATTGGCTGACTATAGCAGATTTCAGGTAAAAACACTCAGAGAAACCAAATCCTGCAAGGTTTGGATGGTGGGTCCAGGTGGGCGGGGCTTGGTGGCTTGGCTTTGTTTGGACCAGCCACAAAGTTCCAAAGTCCTGACGGCTGGTTTTAAGGCTCAGTTTCTGAATACAGGCTGTGTGCATTTCTCTGTGGACTGAGGCTTTGATACTTTCACAGTATTAATATAGAAGCTAGAGCTGATCTATAATCACACTACACATGACACAGACCTTTACACTGGAGGAGCTTTATGGGGGGGGTGGGAGGGGGGTCGGGGGAGGTACATGGGGGATCGGGGCGTCGGGGCGGGGTCAGTAACTCCGGGTCTTCACCGCTCTCTCTCTCCTGTATCTGCTCTGTTTCAGACGTGGCTGCAGCTGAAGATAAAGTGAAGTTCACTCCAGGAAAGAAACAGAGCAAGTTTGAGACGCTGATGACCAAGGAGGAGATCGAGGAGGAGCAGAGGTCAGTGCCCCCCCCCCCCCATCCTGCCTGGCATGGCGTTCGTTAATGCAGACACACAATCACTGCTCTGTGTTTTATTGTGTTTCTCTGGTGCATGGGCAGAAAGGCAAACTGCTCTGTTTTCTCCTCTTCATCCTCTTCTTCTTCCTCCTCTTCCTCTGCAGCTGACCAACTGTTTTTCACTCACTGTCCTGTCTCTGTTGAGTTGGGCTCATCTTGACGACATGTTTTCAGAGATTCAGGTGACATCCTGAACACCTGAGGCGGTTGTCATGGTTTCAGACTGAAGGTGTGAATTTGAGCTGTGTTTAAACTTTCCATCACTGGTGCCTGAGCTGCTGTTTCCAGCTGCGTCGTTCCTCTCGTGGTCGTCCTGACGCCTGAGCAGCAGTTATATAATCCACTGTTCCACACGCTCTCTGTCCGTCAGCGAAGCCTGAAGCTGGACACACTTTCCTGTCTGAGGCAAAGGAAAGAGGGCGAGTGAGGAAACACTCACATGGCAGAGTTTACAGGGTTTTTTGTCAGCGTGGGGGAGGCGACGTGTGCAGCTCTCTGATTGGACGCTCTGTTTTTTCACGTCTTAAAATGTTTCGTGGCTTGGCAGCGCCGCCTTATTTTGTTTCCTCTGAGGTTTTTAGGAGCGGCAGAGGAGAGGAGGGAAAGTCTTTGTCCTCTGTTTAGTTTTTTCTTCTCTTTGTTGTTCGTGACATCACAGAGGAGTAAATATGAAGAGAGACGGAGGAGGAAGCTCGTCCAGCTTCCTCATTCCTTCTCCCCTCCATAAGTTCCTATAAACGCCGTCTTCAGCTCGTGGGGATGACGCCTCTCACAGCATCCCGTTCATCCTGATCTGTTATCATGTGGAAAGACACGGATAAATTCCTGAGCGCAGCGTCTACTGTGGAGAGTGTTTTTCAGCTTCAGAAGAACTAAGAGTTTGATATTTGTGTGAGAGCAGTGATGCAGCCCACACCTGCACATGTTCATTCTCCCTCTGACTCCAGATTCACTGGGTGAATTATGATTCCTTTGTGCCACAGACGGAGCTGATCACTGACTTCCTCCACCTTTATCTTTCCAGGGTAGAGCTTACCTCAGACTTTACCTCTCTGTAATCCAGCTGAGACACAGTGTTAGGAAGCAGATGGTAAGGTGATGTTTCTACCTCCAGTCCTCCCCTCTGATCAACCCGACCCCCCCACAGGTACGGACAGACTGATGCCACCTGACGTATCTATTGATCTGTAATCTCAGATTTCACTCAAATGTTCAGCAGCTCCTTTTAAATTGTCTGAGAAAAAAATAAAAAAATCTTTTCATGTTTCGTTAAAACACGAATTTCACCCACTGGTGCCGTTTGACAAGAGCAACATCTGGATTACTGACAGATTCATCAGCATAGCTATTGATAAATACTAGTAATAATCAGTCTATCCGTACTGATTGACCCCCCCCCCTTTAATATCACATTGTATTGATCAGCTCACGATAACCATCATGATACTGTCAAATCTTCTAATTTAAACGTATTAACACGAACAAAAACAGCTGTTACTCGACACAATGACTTCAGAATAAGAGGCCATGTTGACATATATATAATATATATAATATATATATTAAAGTGAATGAAGCTGGTGATTAAATCTGTCAAACTGTGGAGCAGAGAGAATAATCTTCCCTCTGATGAAATGTGATGAAGAAGAAAGAAACAGAGAAAAATAAAATACTCCAGATTGACTGAGTAAAAGTTCTTAGTTACTTTCCGACATGAGGAGCAGCGTCGCCACGTTCAGGGGCTTCGAACTGGATCCATGTGTTCGGTCCCGGAGACACACGGTTCATCTGTTGCCACGGAGACACCCAGCTGTTACTCCAGCTGTTACTCCAGCAGAAGAAGACCAAGCATCGCCAGAGTGGCCCCCTGAAAACCTGCTGTAGAGGGCCGTCACCAAGAACCTGAACCAGATAAACCTGAACCGAATACGCTGATGGACAGCAGGGAACCGTCCGCTCAACAACGGGCGAACGACATCCCTGAATGGAGTGGAAACCCGAGAAACATTAGCAACACAGTAATCAGAGGGGGGTGTCGACACACATCTCTCCCATCATCAAAGAAAAGTGATCAGCTGAGTTGATAGTAATGAGCCATAATCAATAAGCAGACACACGTCAAGCATCCCCTGGTGTGCTCTGTTGTGGGAGAAGAGTGAGGACGACCTTCACTCATCCAGCCTTGCTTGCCTAAACACCGCAGACGGTACCGATCCCGGGCTTGCTCCCAGGGAAGGGTCGGAGGCCCTCATTAGGACACCGTCAGTGGAGAAATTAATACACATAAAACGATTAGTTCCCTAAAAAATAATATCGTTATGGCAGAAAATGTTTTTTGGTGGTTTTCACTTTTATTTCAGCCAATTATCACCTGATCAAGAGTGTGAGGTGCAGCTGAAAGCTCCAGAAAAGCTAGAAGTAGACCTTGAGTTCAGATGGATGTCAGAACGTTTTTAAAGACGTTGTTGTTGTTTGTCTTTTTATTGGTTTCTGTAAAAATGAGACCAAATATGGAGAAACATCAGCTGATTGGACGTGAGTACAGAACACACTGATCTGAGGATGACGAACACTGTGTGTGTAACCGGTGGACGTTAATGATGAATAATAATAAAATAATAATAATAATAATAATAATTATATAACATAGTGTGTATGCATGAAAACAATCTATATGTTCTGTTGAAAGCAGCCTCCTGTCAGCGGCTGCGCTCAGCTGATAAGACTCCTGGTAATGAGGTGAGCAGAGAAGAGTCTGCCAGGTTCAGCACAGAGATAAAACACACAGGGAATAACAATGAATTATAATCACATGATTAATAATCAATACATTTAAAGACAGACACTAGAGTCAGAGCGACAGGAGATTAATCCAGCGGAAACAGCAGCCACTATGATGACAGTCTTTACACAGCTGTTTACAGGCTGTTTCTGACTGTAGTGACAGAGTGTGTGTGGTGGTGTGTGGTGTGTGTGTGTGTGTGTGTGTGTGTGTGTGTGTGTGTGTGTGTGTTGTGTTGTATCGGTGGATCAGTTGGTGTGTGTGTGGAGGTGGAGCCGCCATCTGCTTTAAGAGGAATACTTAATCTTGAACAGCACTTGCTTTCTCGAACAACAGCCTCGCTGTCCACAGACTGACAATCACTTTATGTCCAACCTGAGACGCAGCAGGTGCACCACACGGATGTGTGTGTGTGTTGTGTGTGTGTGTGTGTGTGTGTGTGGTGTGTGTGTGCTACGTGAGTGTGCACCTGCACGCTACATTAAAGTAAGCATGCTAACACATTTAGCATACGTTGAGTGGCAGCAAAGTAAACCCACTGACTGACAGAGGAAAGAGTTAAATGAAACATTTCATCTCCTCTCTTCAGGCTTCTCTCTGCCAGTCTAGTAACAAACAGGTCTCGGTGAGCCAATCAGAAGAGAGGAGGCTCTGAGCCTCTCTTGGATTGGCTGACTATAGCAGATTTCAGGAAAAAACACTCAGAGAAACCAAATCCTGCAAGGTTTGGATTGTGGTCCAGGTGGGCGGGCTTGGTGCTGCTTGTTGTGACATCAACAAAGTTCCAAGAAGTCCTGACGGCTGGTTTTAAGGCTCAGTTTCTGAATACTAGCTGTGTGCATTTCTCTGTGGACTGAGGCTTTGATACTTTCACAGTATTATAATAAGAAGCTAGAGCTGATCATATATCACACTACACATGGACACAGACCTTTACACTGGAGGGCTTTATGGGGGGGGGCGGGTCGGGGGATGGGGGTGGGGTCGGGGGTCGGTCAGTAACTCCGGGTCCTCTCTTCCTCTCTCTTCCTTATCTGCTCTGTTTCAGACGTGGCTGCAGCTGAAGATAAAGTGAAGTTCACTCCAGGAAAGAAACAGAGCAAGTTTGAGACGCTGATGACCAAGGAGGAGATCGAGGAGGAGCAGAGGTCAGTGCCCCCCCCCCCCATCCGCTGGCATGGCGTCCGTTAATGCAGACACACAATCCCTGCTCTGTGTTGTTGTGTTTCTCTGGTGCATGGGCAGAAAGCAAACTGCTCTCTGTTTTCTCCTCTTTCATCCTCTTCTTCTTCCTCCTCTTCCTCTGCAGCTGACCAACTGTTTTTTCACTCACTGTCCTGTCTCTGTTGAGTTGGGCTCATCTTGACGACATGTTTTCAGAGATTCAGGTGACATCCTGAACACCTGAGGCGGGTCGCATGGTTTCAGACTGAAGGTGTAGATTTGAGCTGTGTTTAAACTTTCCATCACTGGTGCCTGAGCTGCTGTTTCCAGCTGCGTCGTTTCCTCTCGTGGTCGTCCTGACGCCTGAGCAGCATTATATATATCCACTGTTCCACACGCTCTCTGTCCGTCAGCGAAGCCTGAAGCTGGACACACTTTCCTGTCTCGACGCAAAGGAAAGACGCGAGTGAAACACAACACATGGCAGAGTTTACAGGGTTTTTTGTCTGCCGTGGGGGAGCGGACGTGTGCAGCTCTCTCGATTGGACCGCTCTGTTTTTTCACGTCTTAAAATGTTCGTGCTTGGCACGCCGCCTTATTTTTGTTTCCTCTGAGGTTTTTAGGAGCGGCAGAGGAGAGGAGGGAAAGTCTTTGTCCTCTGTTTAGTTTTTCTTTCTTTGTTGTGTTGACATCACAGAGGAGTAATATGAGAAGAGACGGAGGAGGAAAGCTCGTCCAGCTTCCTCATTCCTTTCCTCTCCCTCAAGTAAGTTCCTATAAACCGCGTCGTCTTCAGCTCGTGGGATGACGCCTCTCAACAGCATCCCGTTCATCCTGATCTGTTATCATGTGAAGACAACAGGATAAATTCCTGACGGCGAGCGTTCTACTGTGGAGAGTGTTTTTCGGCTTCAGAAGAACTAAAGAGTTTGATATTTGTGTGAGAGCAGTGATGCAGCCCACACCTGCACATGTTCATTTTCCTCCTGACTCCAGATTCACTGGGTGAATTATGATTCCTTGTGGCCACAGACGGAGCTGATCACTGACTTCCTCCACCTTTATTCTTTCCAGGGTAGAGCTTACCTCAGACTTTACCTCTCTGTAATCCAGCTGAGACACAGTGTTAGGAAGCAGATGGTAAGGTGATGTTTCTACCTGCAGTCCTCCTCCTCGATCAACGACCCCCCCACAGGTACGGACAGACTGATGCACCTGACGTATCTATTGATCTGTAATCTCAGATTTCACTCAAAATGTTCAGGAGCTAGTCTTTTAAATTGTCTGAGAAAAAAAATAAAAAAATCTTTTCATGTTTCGTTAAAACACGAATTTCACCCACTGGTGCCGTTTGACAAGAGCAACATCTGATTACTGACAGATCTCATCAGCATAGCTATTGATAAATACTAGTAATAATCAGTCTATCCGTACTGATTGACCCCCCCCCTTTAATATCACATTGTATTGATCAGCTCACGATAACCATCATGATACTGTCAACTCTCTAATTTAAACGTATTAACACGAACAAAAACAGCTGTTATTCGACACCAATGATTCAGAATAAGAGGCCATGTTGACATATATATAATATATATTAATATATATTTAATAGTGAATGAAGCTGGTGATTAAATCTGTCACTGTGGAGCAGAGAGAATAATCTTCCCTCTGATGAAATGTGATGAAGAAGAAAGAAACAGAGAAAAATATAAAATCCAATTGATGAGAATAAAAGTTCTTTAGTTTACTTTCCGACATGAGGAGCAGCGTCGGCCGAACGTTAGTGGGCTTCGAACTGGATCCATGTGTTCGGTCCCGGAGGACACACGGTTCATCTGTTGCCACGGAGACACCCAGCTGTTACTCACGTCTCCAGTGTTACTCCAGTGTGTGTCGCGGTCCAGAGCTGGCAGATGGTTTCTCTCTCTGATCTCCTGCGAAAAACACGAACCACTCCAC